CCCTACAAAGTTTACTAGAAAAGTAAAAAAGTAAAATTTGTTTAGGTGAAATAGTGAGTTACTTAGTATGAAAAGAGTAAGTAAGATACTAAGTTTTAATTATTTCACACAGCTTGTACAAAGTAGCGAGCAGGTATAAAATTATCATAAGAGAATGTTATTCCCAATTTTCCTTCATATCTCAGTAAAAAAAAAACAAAACACCCTTTTATATTATCTATTCACTGGCTCAACTACAATTTAATTTGTTAATTTGGTTGAAATAAATATTTTAGTGAAGTTGTAAGGTATTTGAGGCTTTTTTAAAAAATTACTTAATTTTGTTTATTACTATTTTTAAAATTTGCTATAGGGCGCACACACTCACCAGAGAGAAACAGAGAGAGAGAAAGAGAAAGCAAGCTTCCAGGTCCAAGACTTGAACTATGGTTGGCTATGTGGGAGTCCAGTGCCTTAACCACCATACCACCTGATAGCCTGATATTTGAGGCTTTAAAAAAACCCTTCTAAACACTTTCTTGACTTCCTCAAATAGAAGATCCTGTAAGGGATACTGGAAATTTTGGTGTACAAATATTTGTTTTAGGACCAAACCATGATCCAGACACCATCATTACCCCACCCCCCTGCCTTTTTTTTTTTTTTTAAGGTTTTCTCCATAGGGTGCATGCACTCACTGGAGAGAGACAGAGACAGAGATAGAAAGTGAGAAATCACCCCTCAAGGGGATTGGCATGCCACAATCCCTTCTCTAGTCTCCTCTTGGGATTTTGGACACACATGTACATGTGCCCAGCGTGATTTTCAAGCTGTTGGCTCTGGGATTCTAACTGCAGTCATCCATGTGGGAATCCAGCACCTTACCCCCACACCATCTGTTGGCCCCACCACTGTCTTTTTTTTTTTTTTTTTTAATTTTAAATTCTTTTTTTTTCCACCAAGTTACTGAATAAAGATACGGTTACAGTTTTGCACACAATTTGATTTACTTGGTAGCAGTTGGAATGTGAAGAACAGAGGCATTATTGTCTCAGAGATTTATGGCAAAATGTTTGCCCTGAAATGTTTTGATTATTTATTGATGTTCTGATTTTGAGGAAAAGAGGAGGGAGAAGGTTAATTGGGCTACTAACTGTTTCACTTAGGCAGCAGAGATGGCTTATTCTGCATGGCGCCTCTAGAGGCACATATAGGAAAACAATTACGATTTTTTCCCCATGAGATTAGGGTGTAAACAAGGTGCCCTAATTATTTATTTATTTATTTATTTATTTATTTTTTTACCATAGGGTGCATGTCCTTGTTGGGGGTGAGGAAGTAAGAAATCACCCCCAGTAGGGATGGCCATGCCACAGTTCCTTCTCCTCCATCCTCTTCTCAGAATTTTGGGCACACATACACAAGCACCTGGTGTAATTGTCAGGCTTCTGGTTCCAGGACTCTAATGGTGGCTGGCTATGTGGGAGTCTAGCACCTTAGCCATCATGCTGTGTTAGCTTTTGGGGTCTAGACCATCATGCATTATAAAGCAGTCAAAACCCAGTCAGGTCATGTTCTTTTTCTTTGTAAAGATTTCTCTCAAGTGTGAGTAGCTATGCAGCTTGCACATATCATAATTGATGCTCCTTAAAGTAAGACACTAAAAAGAAGGAAAACGAGAGCTGTCTGCAGCAGAAAAGGAAATTAGTTAATACACTTGGCGTAAGAAGGCTCAAACTTAACATTTAAGCTCTGACCATTCTATAAGTGATGCAGTAACCTGGAGAAATGTAGCAATTGTTTTCGTAATTCTTTTATCTTAAAAAAAAAAAAAAGTGCTACTTTCCTAGGAGGAAAAAAAAAATCATGTATTAAGAACTTAGACGGCGTCCCCATAGGGCAGTGGCACTGCAGGGAGAGCCAGATCCCACATGGCCAGCTAGTGTGAATTCGAGCCTGGTGGTCTGAAAACCATGCCAGGTAGGCATGTGTATGTGCCCCCAATCCTGAGGGGATGGAGAAATGGAGGAAGAAGGATTAAGGCATGACCAGGCTCCATTGGGGAGTTGCATTCTCTCTCTCTCTCTCTTTGGTACATGCACATAACCTCCGGCAATTAAAAAAGAAGAGAAAAACTTTAAAAAAAAAGTTGGGGTAGACCTTCTAAAGAGATTGAATAGTATCAGGTCTTTGGAAAAGTCACAACATGGTTTTCTATGTTTTTTTCTTTTCTCTGCAGAAATGCACCATACTTTTCTGACAATCAGTATATAGACTAACAGAATACATTGGTTTTGCCCAAAAGAATCTATATTATGTAGTCCTAGTGTTCATGTGGCTGGGTCTTCTGTTTGCCCTTAGTCAGAACAAAGGCTATGGTATGACGGTGTGGACATTGGGAGCTCTGGGTGGGTCCGTAGCTTGTTGGTGGTCTGTCTTGTAGAATCTAGACATATGGGTAATTGGTGTGTCCTCTGGACAGTCTCTCAGGATTTTCAGCTTGGTTTTAAGTTTTAAAATAAAAACATTGCCATAAAATATTCATAACATAAAATTTACTGTTTGAACCTCTTTTTTAAAAGAGAGAGATAGAGAGACAAAGATAGGTATTTTCAGCAGGGTCTTATGTGCCCCTCCAAGTTAACCAGAACTACAGGTGTGCTCTGCTGTGACCAGTGTGTCTAGATTTATCCAGATCCAAACCTGGGCCACTCAGTGTGGCTCCAGTGTCACGCAGTGGCATACCACCACCTGGGACACTGCAGCTGGGCCCACTGTAACCACTTTTGAATGTATAATTCAGCGGATTAAATACATTCACATGTTGCTGTGTAACCACCACCACCACCCAGCTCCAGATTTTTCTTCACTAAAACACGGTACCTGTTAAACAGTAACACCCCATTCGCATCTCCTGGTTTCATAGGCTTATGAAAGGAGGCAGCAGGACTTTGAGGTTGAGGTCTCCTGCAAGTTGTAGAGTTATGTCCATTCTGTCACATGATAGGTGATGGGATCAGTTGTTGCTGACACCAGGTATCATCGCATGACTGTTTTGTAATAAATGCACAGGAACGTGCCCTCTGTGCTGGACCTGCTGGACCCTTCTCATAGCTACAGGGAGGGCTGTTGGACTTGTGATGCCCATTCCCTTGGCACCCGGTATATCCCTGAATGATTTCAACCAGTCCTTTGTTGAATGTCCACGTGTTCTGCCACTCAGCATGGAAGTACTGTTCTTCATCTGGAAGATTTTGAGAGTACTGGTAACTTGACCAGTAGAGCTTTTCAGCTATGTAATTCCTTGAAAATGATGTCTAGGATGTTTGCTTCTGGATAGGACATGGTTACGAAAAACCTGATAAGTAGACAATTGGGTGAATTGGCCTGTTCACCATAGAAGCATTGAGCATTTTGGGGACCAGCAGTTAATGTAATGGCTATGTCACTGGAGTCCCACGTAGTCGACTGCGGTTCGAGTCCTGGATCTGGTGGCTTAAACTCATGCTGGATGCGTGTGCATGTGTGCCCAAGATTCTGGGAGGAGAAGGGATTGTGGTGTGGCCATCCCTCCTGATGGGGGGGTGACTTCTTGTTTCTGTCTGTCTCTCTTTCTGGCAAGTGCACGTGCCCTATAGCAAAAGCCTCTCAAAAAAAAAAAAAAAAAAAAAGAAGTGTTGAGCATTTTTCACCCAAAGGCCACCAAGAGACAATATATAGATGATTTAGATTTTGTCACAGTGCTTTGACTGTTATCTCTAATAGTATTTGGACAATGCTTTTATGTGCCTTTCAAAGGGATTCTTTGATCCTGAGAACAAAATGAGAATAATGCTATAGAAGGAATATATCCCTTCCCATTTGCTATGACCAAGCTAGTATCCAATACCTTGAAAAACTGAACCAAGTTTACCAAAGGGTAGATGAGAGGAAATTTCTTTACCCTTTAGAAGATTAAGTTTGGGAGATAGCTTGATACCCCTAAACATGTTAATATTTACCTAAACAAAAACA